CATTTTATTATTAAAAATTAATTATTTTAATAATAAATGTTATATCTGACTTTCAGGATGGCATTTTGTTATTAAAAATTAATAAAAAATTAATTTTTTATTAATAAATGTCGCGTCTGACTTTCAGATCAAAATTTTATTATTAAAAATTAATAAAAAATTAATTTTTTATTAATAAATGCTACGTCCGTCTTTCGGGGTAGCATTTTTATATAAAAATTTAATAAAAATTAATTTTTTATTAATAAATGCCACGTCTGACTTTCAGGGCGGAATTTTAATATAAAAAATTAATGAAAATCAATTCTTTTATTAATAAATGCTATGACTGATTTTTGGGCAGCATTTTAATATAAAAAATTAATAAAAATTAAATTTTTTATTAATAAATGCTGCATCTGACCTTTCAGATCAGAATTTTATTATTAAACATTAATTTTTTTTAATAATAAATACCATGCTGCCTCCGACTTTCAGGACAGTATTTTGTTATTAAAAATTAATAAAAATTAATTTTTTAACAATAAATGCTGCATCTGATTTTTGGGGTAGCATTTTATTATTAAAATTAAAAATTTTTTAATAATAAATGTTGTGTCTGACTTTTGGAGCAGCATTTTGTTATTAAAAATTAATAAAAAGTTAATTTTTTTAATAATAAATGCCATGTCTGACTTTCAAGGTGGTATTTAAATATTAAAAATTATTAAAAATGAAATTTTTAATAATAAATGTCATCTGACTTTCAGAATAGAATTTTAATATAAAAAATTAATAAAAATTAATATTTTTATTAATAAATGTCATATTTGACTTTCGGGGCAGAATTTTATTATTAAATATTAATTTTTTAATAATAAATGCTATGTCTGACTTTTGGGATGGCATTTTGTTATTAAAAATTAATAAAAAGTTAATTTTTTTAATAATAAATGTTATGTCTAACTTTCAGGACAGCATTTAAATATTAAAATTATTAAAAATGAAATTTTTTAATAATAAATATCACGTTTGACTTTCGGGGTAGCATTTTAATATAAAAAATTAATAAAAATTAATTTTTTTATTAACAAATGCTGCATCTGACTTTTGGGGTAGCATTTTATTATTAAACATTAATTTTTTAATAATAAATGCTGCCTCTGACTTTCAGACAGCATTTTGTTATTAAAAATTAATTTTTATTAATTTTTTATTAATAAATGCCGCCTTCGACTTTCAGGACAGCATTTTGTTATTAAAAATTAATTTTTATTAATTTTTAATAATAAATATTATGTCCGACTTTCGTCGGTATTTTATTATTAAAAATTAAATTTTTTTAATAATAAATACCACATCTGACTTTGGCGGCATTTTTTATTTCAAATCCAACAAATCAGATTTGAATCCAAATCTGAATCTGACAGATCGAATCTGAATCCAAATCAAAATCTGTCAAATTAAATCGGATTTTTTTGCAGAACACTATCTCCTGTAGTAGCAAAACTACCAGAAAACATTAATATATGCAAAAATAAATACAAAGATTGAGATATAATCTGTAATACATATTATTTTTTGATATTTTTTTTGATTTTAGCCTCTTGCTAGCTGGAGAAATATTAACACTAACACGATCATTTAGCAACCTAATAATAATACCTATTATTCTTTCACGTTGCTTTAAATAAATTTGGAATTTTTCACATATTTTTATCGTATAATTTGTGATTTAACAAAGAATCTTCTGAGTTGAATTTTACTACTCTAGGTTAATAATCAGTATTCCAGACTCAACATTTTCCACATTAAATATATCTTAACTTATTATATCAATCATAAAAAATAATACTAATAATAAAACTAATCCATATAAAATACTTGCTCAAATATATAAATTGTTTATATAAGAAGAATAATATAATAGCAATTCAAGAAAAACTTGATATTATCAGCTATATTAATCAAGCAATAGTAGAAGAAGCTGATAAAAATGCAAAAATTATTTTTTAAAAGTTTGAGAAATTTTATAGACATATCTTGAAAGAATATATATAGATTAGAATAACTGGATTTATTCATTTTATTATTCAAATGATGGAATTCAAGAATGTTGTTAATGATGTGTAATGGTTCCATTGTTGATTAATGTGATAAACCAGCAAAATTTAGGCCTTTAAGTATATTGTGTTTAATAAAGATATCCTGTAGTATTGTATATAAGGTCTTAATAAAGGCTTTTCAAATAGTATCAAGAAGCATAATAGGATATATATTATCTAAATTGCAATTTCAAGCTTTTAGTTTTAGAATTAGATATACATATGCTAAATTCTATTATGTAGATATCTGCGAACTAACAAAACAAGCACTGATAATAGTATATAAAAATTTGTTCATTCTTGGGCCTAGTTTTTTTAACATATTTGGGAAGGATTAGGAGTAAGGTTGCTTGTCTAAACTCATTTTGGATTTGGCAAAATGGTTAAACCTTTAGTTTTGCTAAATTTTTACTAAGTGTTTGATATAGTTTCGCCATTTTTATAAGCTTTGATATAGTTTTACCTTTTTTCAAATTTCGCAGATTTTTTAATAAGGTTTTAATATAATTTAACAAGTTTTACTTTTACCATTTAAATGTTTGTCTAAACTCTTGATTTCGTCCAGCAACCTTAGTCAGGAGCTTTATGATCAGGTAGATGTTTTAATATAAACAACCATTTATCATATGAAAGAATGTCCATAATTCTATGATAAAAATAGTATCAATAGGTTCATAGTAACATTAGTTGCATGTGACTTTCATAATATAATTATATTATGAAAGTCACATGTGATTTGAGTTAGGTCATGAAGGTAACTTCATAATATAATGGTAACTTCATAGTTTACTGGTAACTTCATAACATAATGGTAACTTTATAGTCTGCCGGTAACTTCATAATATGATGGTGATTTTATAATCTAATTTCATAATCTGGTGGTAACTTCATAACCTACTATTCATAATCTGATAGTAACTTCATAACCTATATACGGGTAGCTTCTTTATATTTATATTATTATTTCAATCATTTCCTGTATATTATGGTGATGGTTTCATAGTCTAACAGTAGATGGTAATACTTTAATTTAATGGTGATGTCATGATCTAATGGTTACTACTTTCTTCTTGTTCCTAATTCATTTACAATATAAATTCTACATTGTTGATACTGGCTTTCCATCCTTGTTTAAATGCTTGATTCCTTATTAGGGATATTGACACTCTGTGCTTGTTTGGTTGCTAATTCTATATTGAAATTTACGCATATTTGATTGCCTTTTAAATTACTGAAATGGTATAAAAAAGAGGCAATAGGTGGCACAGTGAATTTGCGATTAATTTTGGTCAGCTCTATAGTATAACTCTGGCTGATCTTTTAGGAATATAATTTTAGGTTCCAGCTTGGCAACACAATAGCGTCATGATAGTGTCATGGAACTGTTAAGAAACTGGTAGAGAACAGGTAGGATGCCTGAGAAGTTCTATTAGTTCATCAGTTTTATGCTAGCTTAGATGTTAAGTTATTGTGTCTATAATTCTAGTAAAAAATTATGGAATAGTGCTGGCTGAAATTATTTAAATTCTACTGCGAAAGATACTGAGTCTTTTCATCTAGATGTAAACCTGAACATATATAAGTCTTCTGCCATTTTTATATAATATAATTATGCAAAAGACTTCCTTTTCAGATACATATATCCAGATGCATACTAGTGATAGGATAAGTCTTCTTCCAATATTTTATATAATAATTATGAAGAAAACTTAACCTCTGGATGTATATCCTATTGCCTTTCTTTTTCGATTCATTTAATAAGTTCGCTATCGTTTCTTTTTACATCCCTTTTTTGGTATATCTCTATATTATGTAAAGACAATGCTATACCTGAGTACATATCTAGAAAAGTGTAGCCTTCTGCCATTTTTATATAATATAATTTTGCAGAAGCCTTCATACTACATCCAAGTACATACTAGTGATAGGTAATTTTCTGCTAATATTTATATAATAGATTACGCAGAAGGCTACCTGAAGTATCACCTATTAAGAATATGATTATTTACGATTTTTTTTACTAATCTGCTATACATCTCTTTTGTATCCATCGAAAAAAAATAAATTAAACATTTCAGAAATATATTGGAGTATATAAAATTTTACTTACTAACGCTATATATACTTCAACTACTTCTAACCAAAATCATGAAACTGACCTAACGCTCGCCCGCTATGATAGTACTGAGTCCTTAGCTGGTATTCCATTACGTAATGATATTGTAGCAGAATTTTATAATAGGATAATTGCTATATTTCAGCAAAGCCTATCTGGCAAGCAATCCATATATTTCATGCCTACTGAAGTTAGTGATAATACCAAATATATAAATGGATTCTTCACCTATATTTTGCGTATTACCGGTTTTTTGATTAATAAACAAAAGGCAGTAATGAATATTATAAGCATCCGACCCTTCTTTGATATCAAAATGCCTGAAGAAATGTCATTATCTAACGTTTAGGACTAAATTAGTAAGGATACTATCTAATATTCTCAATAACACATCAAAGTTTAGGATTGAAACTATTAGCACTTTTCTACTTCAAGGATACTATACAGAAAAGAAACCATATATTTGTATGAGAACATAGAACCATTATGACCAGTATAATACATTAAAAGTAATCTGTGCTATTAGAATATGTACAGCCTCAGATGATCTAAGATACCAGTATTATTATCGCAAAGTAGTCTGTGAAAAAAGATTACCTCTTTCAAGCTAGGCGTTATTAAGTAATTATTCATACATACTGTCAGAAGATACTTATTTCTTTTAAATATCCGTAAACAATTACAATTCAATAAGCGATAATGAGTATAATAATCCATTATTTTCTTCAGCGCTTTCATGAGATCGCACCCTTATTCTCACGTGGAATATCAAGATATATAGCTTACGAAAAACAGGTGAGATGCCTAATGCAAAATATGAAGAAGATATTGTGTTCATGATTTGTATGACAGTTCATTGGAAAGATAATCCTGAACTGTTAAAGCAAATCTGTCTTGTTGACGTTGAAACTGCGTTAGACTCACAGTTAATTACGATTATATGCGGATCTCAAGTTAATTTATTAAAAGCATTTGACTTATGCTGAAAACTTTTAGCTAAGGTTGCTTGTCTAAATTCATTTTGGATTTGGTAAAATGGTAAAACCTTTAGTTTCGCTAAATTTTTACTAAGTGTTTGATATAGTTTCGCCAT